TACGACTGAGACAGCCTTAAGCGTTTACGGATCGTTCTCTGCCATCAGCCTATGCAATATCAATTGCGTACGATAATTGGTGCAAATTGCGCAGGTGACTGCCGCCAACTGCCATGCTACGCAATCGGCCTTCATCTCGCAGAAGGCGAAACGCGTGGACCGTCGACGGTACGCGCCGTTCGACTACCTGCACAAGAAGTACAACGTCTGGGCGCAGCTGTTCGACCCGATGGTCGATCGGTGCGACGAGAACTCCAAGGTGATCGTCGTCGAGGGCCCGATCGCCGCGGGCAAGTCCCAGGTGGCCGCTAAGCTGGCGGAGGATTTCGAGATGGTCTACCTGCCGGCGCCGACCTTCGACGACTTGTACATAGACACGAACGGATACGACCTGCGCACGCTGGACGCCCGGCTGTCCACGGGCTCGCAGTCGTGCGACGTGCAGAAGTTTCTGACGAATCCGCGCCACCCCAACGTGCCCATGTTTCAGTTTCACTACTTCCAGCTCAGGTACGACCAGTACATCACCGCTCTGCTGCACCTGACGTCGACCGGCCAGGGGGTGGTGCTCAGCCGTTCCTTCTACACAGACTACGTGTTCGCCAGGGCGATGATGAACGCCGGCTACATGCGTCCGGAGGCGTACCAGTTTTACAGCGACGTGGTGGGCATCGCCAAGTTAATTATGCTCAGGCCTCATTTGATCGTTTATTTGGACGTGCCTGTGGACGCGGTCAAGGTAATTTCGCAAGACGAAGCGACCGCTCGCGCACCTTCTCTCTTTCGTGCGTTTATGCGTTTTTTCGAGGTGTACTCTATCCCATCTTTTGTCGATATTGGCAGGCAAAGATTAAGAAACGGGGCATACCGTACGAAGTGAATTCCAAGGTTCTCACCACGGAGTATCTCCAGGATATTGAAAACATATACAAGTTGGATTATCTGAAGAACATTAAGACGCATTCGCACGTGCTGGTCTACGACTGGACGAACGAGGGAGATGTTTCCAGCATGGTCGAGGATATCGAGGCACTGAACTTTGATTACGAAAAGGGGGAGAAGAAGATGGAAGACTGGCGATTCGAGAACGTTCAGGAGCTTCGAACTAAGAGGAAATTATGCGAGAGGAGATATTTGCTGCATATGGATTATATCAGAAACGAATTCTCGGTACCAGAATTGCACTACTCAGCTGATGAGAACGAGGAAATATATCACGTAATGAAAACGGTATATATTTGTATACACATTGTTTAATTAAATTTTTTGGTATGTTTAATTAAATTTCGTGAACCTGTCGGCCGATCAACTGTTGTTCAATCATGTACAATAGTCAATAAGCTAAGAAATCTAACGGCGAAAAGATTTGCTTCTCCCAGTTTGAAAGATTGTCGTAATGTAATTATTAATCTCGTTACAGGTACCCGGATCTGAATACACTAAGGGATTCAATCCGTTTTACAAAGACAAAAGAAGTAATATTTTGTGGAAGACAGAACCATCTTATGAGTTTGCGACCTTAAGAAACTGTCCGCGCGAGGTAGACTTGCTAAATGAAGAAATAAAGAAGCTCAAGGCCGCCGCGACGCTGTAAGATGTAAAAAAGTCGATATATCTAGGAAAAAATAGAGCCTGTAAACAATAACTGAAGTAAAAATAAATTTTACCTTTAACCGGGAAATGCCTTCACCTTCAATTCTCACTGAATTAATTTTCAATGCTACATCTCTTGACAAGTATCTCGTTTGCATTGATATATAATTTTGTAAATATGAATATACATATATTCCCGCAATTTTGATGCGTTTGAAACATTCTACATTCGTTAAAAATGTGTCGTTAAATTGGCGCAGTAGCAGCAATAATCCCATTATTTATGCGTTATGTTTAAAAAAATATATATTTATATTGTTTAAATAAATATACTTCAAAATTGTGAATTGCGATATATATATAAATTTTCTCCTTTCTATGAATACATCATGTAACATTAACGTTTGAAAATATATTAATATATATTTACTGGCTCATTATACTTTTCAACATACATAGTATAAAGATTACAATTGTCACTTAAATATTATACATAGAATATATTTTCTTTCTGTCAAGACACATCATCAGAGTTTTACTTATGTTGAAATTCAAATGACAAATAATCGTAAGCCTTATCGTCTATCGATCAACTGGATGAAATGTTTAATGTAACAAACATTGATAATAGTTTTTTTGGTACAATTCATAATATATAAATACAGTTAAAAAGGATTAGGACTGGTTTACGTATGTTGTATTAAATAAACTGCCAGACAACCTTCTTAGAATCTGTGCTGAATATTCTCTCGTTCGGATTTCTTACAATATGGATGACTTGTCAACATAACTATGATAAAATCGCACAGATACAAGATGTAAAATTATTTCTAGCGGTTACAAAAGTTCCGTCAAAAAGGCTCTTTTGATTATTTCACGCTGATCGGATTATTAGACTGGGATCTAATTGTTTCAACAGAGATAAATCGTTCGTCCAATAGCGTTGTCGCATCGCATCTATCGATTCACGAGGCTCTTCACGTCCGGAATAAAAACCACCTCGCGCTACACCCGCGTCTTTTTCACACGTAAAAAGGGCACGATTAACATTCGGAATGTGTTTAAGGCGATACTTTGACACTGTGGGAACTCCCTCACGGTAGCTTCCTCTCGCGCGAAACTCATCTCGGAAGTAATTCATGTACGCAATTGTTTAGGACCGTTTCTCGCGAGTAGACGATTTCCACGGGCGCGTGACATCCCTATAAAAAATTCCACTTAACTGGGAGGAACCGGCAGTGGTTTGCTTTTGCCCGTTATTCAACTAGAAATTCACTGAATGAATATATGTACGTTCCACTGAAAAATCTGGGTAGATCAATACCTTCCGTTGGCTCCCCGTTACCTGTTGGCTAAACCTTCCCTCCCATTTCCCGCATATCGACCCCTTCCGCCAATCATATAAATACTCGCTTGCGTTTTTATACCGCAATGATTATAAAGTCACATTTATCGAAATATTGAAGCGGCGAAGCTCGCTGAGAAACAAAAAAACAACGAAGGAAACGTTCTAAGGAGCTAAACTACAGCAGGAGTTGGTTTTCCGTGCGGTCTTGTAAAACGCCTTCGACTGAGCGCTGAGCCCCTCCGACTTGGAAACTAGATCGTCCAGCTTCTCGCCCCTTTGCAGCACCGCTTCCAAGGTATTGTGCTGGTGAAAGATATCACAAAATTCTCAATACTTGTATTACAAACGGATATCGCAACAGATTAAGTAAATCGCTCCTTAAGGCGCAGCGCTAGCGATAGCGGTAACGCAGCAATAGGGGCAGAATCCCAACGCTAGGAGATGCACGCGTTAATGCAGAATATGCTAGTGTTTGGAATTCCGTTCCTACTGTTGCGCCGCCGCTGTCGCCTAGCATTGTGCGAAGGCCTCTACACATTTCTTGAACAGGAGGAAAACCGGGGGCACCGACGCTTACCAAAATAATTTTTGTCTCGTCTAGATCGTTTTGCATTTTCGTGAGCGCGTCCGCCTCGCCTGGATTCTGATACTTGGCTAGATACGTATTGATCTGCGGGAAGTCGGCGGTGGTCTCCTTGAGGGTGGGCCACGCCGACGGCGGATTCTTCGCCGCAAACTCGTCCATCACCTTCGTGATCAGAGTGTGCGCCACTCTCCTGGGGTATTCGTGATCCGAGATGAGCACCGCGGCGAGATTGTCGGCTCGCACGTACACATGGCACATGTATTCTGCGGAGAATCACACGATATATTCGCAACGGCGCTGCTTCTGCGGCAATACAAGGATTATTGGGAATATTATGTAATCCAGCCACGGTTACCGCCTTCCTTGACGCTCTGCCTGGCACACGTCTGCGTTCTCTCCACAATTGTTTTACTGACGAAGCACATGAACTCCTTAATACTGTTTTTTTGAAAAAACGAGAACGACTCCACGTCGTAGGCGGCCTTCAGCGTCGTCGCCGACGTGGGACTTTTGTACAGAACAGTCAGTGCGTATAACTTCACCATCTTAAGCTGCAAGAATAACAACAGCGTCAAGGCTTATCGGACAATAAATATTTTATACATGATTCACACATGTGCACGTATCAAATCTATTGCGTGACTTATTACTGTAACACTTTTGTACAAATGTACATTGAAAACATCTGAATTAAAATAGGTACTCTCCATACAAATTGCTCACTAATCAACAAGATGCGGAATTTACTCTACGGGCTAAAACTCCACGCCACACATATGCTTTTCATATTATCCACCGCAAACGAGTCGCTTATTAAAAATCACAGGCAACGAGTTACCAAACGGCCAAGTTTAATCCCGAGTGAACGAAGTCTGCTTGAAGTTGTCACAAATCACGCATTTCTAGCAAAATACCGTCCAATTTTCAAACGCAACTCGTGACGGGGGGTGCACAAGCTTCGCAGCCAGCCGTCTTGTCGACGCGAAAATAGGAGAACAATTTTTATCGCCGATTCTATGGTATGTACAATATAATGACAAATTTGTGTACGGAGGGGTGGGGTGGGGGAGGGGAGGTAGAAAAATCTCGGGAGCAGTTTAAAAACAATGCCAAACGTACGGTTCTATTCACAGTATTTATATATCGCTAGGACTTGCGGGCTCTTTGGTTGCGGCAGCGTATCCAGGCGAGTCCTGCCGCTCGCGCGATCAGACTACCAGGCAGGACGCTCACTCGCCGTGCTGATTCACTGGAGAATCATCGTGATTTCCAGGTTTCCAACGATACAATCACCTCGGGCCTGCGAGGTACGAGAACAGCCATGTTGGTCATGTTGCACGTCGGGCAGTGTGATGGGCCACGGCGTGCGAGTTTTCTCTCGCATGGAATCTAGTGAATTTACCAGAAGTGCAGCAGACAGCACCTGCCGGTAATTAACCAGATCGCGTCGGCCGCGCTCTCGGCGCGGGAGGCGATTTAATTGAACTTCATTTCGGTTTAACTTACTTCCTTATCTCTTCGTAATTTTCAGAACTGAAAGAGGTAAACGGTGAGTTAAACGGAGATTGGAGTTAACAAGAATGAACTGGAAATGCCTTGGCGAGTCTTTAATACGATTCGTTCCCGCCTCTAACGTTAATTTCCATCAATACGGGCTTGATTTTAATTTCGATTTAACTAGTTCGTAGAGAAAAAGATAGCAAGTTAAATCGCGAGATTAATTCGCGAAATGGACATAATTCTTGGAACTAAAGAGATAAAAACTTGGGCCGAGATTAAAGTTAATCTACGTTGAGTAGAAAAGAAGAGAATTCTGGGTGTAAACGTGTAGAAATCGTGGACGATCGAGTGCTGTTTCCTGCGCTGAGCGAAAATAGGTTTATTTTTATAATGAATTGCAATCGAATCACCTCTTCCGCCTCTGCCACATTTCAAACATTATCTCGCTTTAAATACAGAGTCCTTGAATTAAAAAAGAAACTGCGTTTTAATGCTAATGATAGAAATTTCAGGTGAAAAGAAGAGAATGCTTTTATGAAATGAAGATGGACAGAGAAACTCTCCTTATAAATTAGTCGGAATTTAAAGGAGGCATCAACAGTTAAACATTTAAGTATATTTTGCTATTTACATATATAAATTTGTCATGTATTTTAAGTAACATGTTACTGCACATAATGCTAATCTTAAGAGTAAAAACTGTCATTGTGGTCTTGACGCAGTTTAAGACAGTGTGCACGACGTTCTATAAATGCGGCCATTCTAGTGGACGGTATGGTAGCGCCAGTTGATATCTAACACAAAAGTGAACAATATTTTATTAAATTTCGGTGCAATGTCGACGCCACAAAACGGCAAGGTATTATTTAAAATAGAGGAAACTATCAAGTATGAGTTTATTACTTTCAACCATGGCGAACCAAGACAGATCTCTGCGTTCACTCGATCCTCACCACGCAGGCACAATAATCTCCCGAGGAGTTCCTTCGCATCGCTGGATATCGCCTCGAAATATTCGTCGGGGAAACAGAAATCGCACTTGAGAATGTTGGCGGTGGTTTCTTCCACGGAGTCGTCCAGAAACGGCGACAATCCGCTGAGATATTCGCAGACGGTTAAGACGACATGGATAGTAGGGTAAAACAGCGCAGTAAAGAGAAGTGATAATGGGCTCGATCAATGAATAAGCAATTTCAAAAGAATACCTTAGCAAAACATAAATGAAAACTCCGACGGCCCACATATCCGTGTAAGGACCGGCCGGTCTACCTAGCACCGACTCCGGCGCTGCGAACTCCAGATCGGCCGGGGGCGGTACGATCTCGTCGATGGGAGCCCTGACCGCTTCCCCCAGATCTATTACCTTCACCTGGTCCGTCTCGTGGTCGACGAGGACGTTCTCCGGTTTCACGTCCAGATGCGCCCGGCCGCGGCGGTGCAGCCAGCGCAACGCGGACAACAGCTGGCAGGTGTATCGCGTCGCCGTCGCCTCGGTGTACTCCGTTTTCTCGCTCAGATACGCGAACAGCATCGGGCCTCTGACCCTGCGGAGAGGAGAGCGTCGTTCAGCGCGTTCGTCAACGAGTGCTTCGTCGCGAACACTTACAGTTCCAAGACGATGGTGTCCACCCCGGGTCGTGGCGCGTTCTCGAACAGGGCGAACGCCCTGACGATGTTGGCGTGATGAGTGGAGGCCAGCACGTCGTATTCCGCGCGCGTCAGCAGTCTCGACTGCCTGTGCCGCGGAATCTGCTTGAGCGCCACCTCCTGACCGGTGCCCTTGTCCCTGGCGCGACGGACCGTGCCGAATCTACCGTTGCCCAGCTCGTCCAGCTCCAAGTACCTGCCGACGAACTGCTTGGCCTCCCATTCCGCGCCGCCGCCCGTGTCCGATCGCGACAGGGTCACCACGACCGACGGCGAGGTCGTCCGCCCGTCGTCGCCCACCACCCGAAAGCTGTACGAGGCGTCCATCGGCACGTCCAGTAGAACGGGCGGTTCGTTGGCCTGCCTCGACATCGGCACCCACTGCTGCGACGGTAGAGTTCTGCACTCTATGCTGCACGACACCCCGCCGATCTCCTGCCTGTCCCAGTCGATCTCCACCCTCGAGCATCCTAAAACGCGCGCGGAAGTGCTGCTCTTCCCACCTAAAATATGATTGAAATTTGATGGTACATTCGTAATGTTTCTTACCTCGGTTTTCAACGTCATTTAACTTTGTTCTTAGTTTAATTCATCCTTTCTCTCTCTCTCTGTCTTCGTAGAATAAAACAAGGAATGAATCGGGATCCTCGATCAACGTACCTACGACGAAGAGAGAAATCCCCACGGAGCAAGAGCCCGTTTCGCCCTTCAGATGACACTGATATACCCCGGAGTCCGAGGCTCGGCAGCCGGTGATCTGCAGGTATACGAAGCCCGCGCTTCGCTGGAACTGATACCGATCGTTCTCTCTTATACACTGATTCTCGCCCTCCTTCCTCCATGTGACGATCGCGCTGTCCGCGTTGTGCGTCTCGACGGAGAGTCTGACGACCTCGCCGACGGTCGCGCGAATCGACGTCGGACTGCTCAGAATGGCCGGCGTTTTCTCCTCGGCCGCCACTGACTCCCGGGAATCGTCGACGTGGCATCTCGCGAGATCGATCTTTCGCGGCCGAAACGACCACGCTCGGCTGATCGCCGAGTTCGGGATGAGACTCGCCGGGATCCACAACTCGTCCTTGGTATTCACGGGAGACACCACTAAGCCCGGACCGTCCAGGTGGGAGACAACGAGCTCGTCTCCGGCGTGTAACTTTCCCCAATCCGCGGCCAATCTTACGCGTGCACCTGGAACGACCTAAGGAAGCCCCTTTGTTACAAGCGCTCTTCTTCAACGTTTCGTCGCGTCGTTAAGCGTGTCTTTCATGCAACTTGCGTCGCCACGCCCCCGTTCTGCGTTCACCCAGAATGCGAGCTCGGCCCAGGGTGAGAGCTTCCAGCACCGTAATGCAGCGATGGTAGCGGCAATAACGATAGCAGCGATCCCGGTAAAGGAAGAAATAACAGCGTAGTAGTAGCATTGGTTTTGACAGAGTTGAGCGGTATAGCAGCGGTAGAGTGGTTGTTACATAGGCGGTATCGATTGCGACGATTCTGTGGAGTGCTAGCGAAAACGTTTGGTGACGAGCGGTAGAAACCAGCGGTGTGGTGTGGTTACACAGTATACAGCGAGTAAGAAGGTGTTAGAAGCGATAACGGAGTTTGCAGAATCAAAAGTCATTCGTTACGAGAGAGGTTTCGGAGCTTCTTTCCATCTTTCTAGCGGACTTATCCCTCGTAGGTGTGTATTGCGTTATGCGTTTTGCTTTACGTCTGTGTGAGGTCCCGTTACACGAAGTTAAGAAGATACGTAATGGCATTTCGTGGATGCGTTCGTAGTCGACAGAGTTGTTTAATGATACAAGTATAATAATCGTCGCACCGACAGAAGATAATGCGATAGATAGCGGTAGATAGCGACAGGCATCAAGAAGAGGAAGAGCTCCTTTGCTGCTGCAATCATCAAGAATTCCCAATTGACACGGGTGATAAATGTTACGCGTACGCCGGCTAAAATTGGTAAAGGCCAACGTTAAATCAGGGATTGGCTCACCGGGATGGAATTGTTGCGTATCGGCGAGCGTGTGCGTAGAGTGTTCTTAAATCCCTCCAGGAAGTTTAGCCTACTCTTGGTCGGGCTGGGCGTACGTGGTTGCACGCATTCCAATCCCCCGGTCTGCGAGCGTTGCAACGGCTGATTCGGCCTACCGTCTCCCTTCGCCGATCCGGAGACGATCAGCGTTGGAGGGACCGACACGGTTGCTCGTATGGGTTCGGACGTGGCGGTGGTGGTAGCGGTGGCGGTGACGGTGACGGTGGCACGGCTGTACGCCAGCAAATCATAAGTGAAATCCAAGACACAGTACTACGCGTCGAGACTCGCGCACTTCGATACGCCAGCGCGTTTAAACGCGATTAGAAGAATGTAAAAAAGAAAAAGAAAGAAAACATTTTTCAGGGTATCGAATAGACCTTCCGATCGGAAATCTCGAGGCGATCGATAGGAACGAGTCCCGACATGAGCCAGGATATACGGAGGAACCGACGTCGCCAGCAACTTGGATCTTTCGGACGTGTCGAAGAATAGATGAGTGTGTGCTTAATAGCAACGCATGGCGGCAAGGTAGGTAGGTGGTGGTTGGTTGTGATCGTGGTAGATACACTTTGGACTTGCTTCCCGCAGTACTGTGTTCTTGATGAAATTATAAGAAAAGAAGCTAGTTAGTCGGGCCGTGGGGGTGTATTAGATAGTAGACGAGGATGAGGGATGCATATCACAATCACTCGGTCTTAATCATCAATTTACAATTTATTCTAGACAAAATCCTTACGATTCGCGGGTCAATTATAGCTTTGCTTCGGACTGTCCTCCAGTGTCGCGTATTAATATATACACAGTATACTGTTACGCCACAATCTGTTCATAGATTCGTGCGCGCGCGCATGTTTTTGTAAACGTTATTAAAATTATTATAAATATATATATATGTATATATATATATTGCATATCTTCATATATTATTACGTTATTAATACATCGCACTCGTAGCGCGTCCTTCTGTATACCGTCATATCGTTATAAGTCCGCATGTGTGTAGAGATGTAAACGCACGTAAACAACAAAATACGACCCCATTGTCGGTGCATATGTATATGCATACATACATGCACGCATAATGCATGCGCATTGGAACGGATTAATACACGTTTATAGGCTCCTGGGACCAGATAGTCGAGTCTAGAAGAGTAGTATACGTTAAGGAAACAGGGTGAGTAAGATTTTTGATCCATTAAACGATAAAAAGAGCAGTTAACTCTCGCATGCCCGTGGCAATCTAAAACACTAAAGGTATATACTTGCGTATATATCTGATACAGAGCGATAAGTTGAAGTCTACAATCGTTTCCGAGACGTCATCGAATATGAAAAGATATATATTTATTATATTTGTATGTTCCGAAGCTAATCGCATCGTTTCTTTAATGACGGCCATTTCGCGGAGATTCGGAAGCGACATCGCCTTGACGGTAATTTTTAAAAATATCCAGTCGCGTGTAGATATTTAATATCGGAAATTTAATTTTGTCGCTGCTCAGTCGCCCTCTCGCCAAGGCGACATCGCCTCCAAATCCACCCAACGAGTCATTAAAAAATCATGCAGCACTTTTGAGACACCCTGCACGTACTCTTCTGTATAAAGTGTATCTTTACTTCTTATTATGCCGATAGAGAAGTGTAAGTTTGGAGGTCTAAGTACTGTGTGTGTGTGTGTATGTGTGTGTACATGGTCTGTCCAAAAAGTATTGGGACTGAGTTTTTCTAGCCAAAGGGAAGGGGTTGGGAGTGGTTTGTACGAAGAGAACAATTAGTGGGGAATGTTAGGTACGACGCGACCCGGCTTAATTGACTCCGAGCCTTTGCAGAGTTGTAGATCACGCCCGGAATGAGCAGGTGTTTCGTGGTATCGTCAGGAATCAAGATGCAGCGTACGATTGAACAGCGGTATGCGATCAAGTTTTGGGTAAAACTGAAACAGCGTCGTATACCTGACATTCCCCACTAATTTTCCCGCCCACACATACCACCCCCCACCCCTTGGCTAGAAAAAATCAGTCCCGATACTTTCTGGACAGACCATGTATGTGTGTGTGTCGTGTGTAGATACTCTTTAAGCTCCTGCGCGGAAATATAGTTGAATACTGCATCGTTATCGTTTCCTCTGTACTACGTAAAGCAAGATATCGTCACCAGATATATAAAGATAATCCAGAAAAGGAATGTGAGAAAAATGACTGGATACGTGCAAATACCTTTTAGCGTGTGACATTAATAACAATGTAGGCGCCAAGATATATCGGAACGGTGGAAAGTAGTTAATTTTTCGACAAAGGTGAAAATGGAGCCGCAGGGCGCAGAGGAAAGCAGGCGATGGTTTTTTCTCTTTTTCTCTCTCTTTTTTTTTTAGGATACGACTAACGATTATCTAGCTCTTACGGCGATTGTATCTTTTTTTTTATATAAAATATACAAAAATATGTCGGAACGAATATTCACAGATCGGATATTAAAAGAGAGTCAGTGTGTAAGTCAATGTGTTAGAGACGCTTACAGTGGGTCTTTGGTAAGTTCCTTCTGGTAGGCAATCGGTGATTGTATCGCCTTCAGGAAGTCGCGCTGTGTTTGCAGGATGGCAGTGATGGTATCTACCCACTCCTGCCTGCGCGGTCCACTACTTTCTTCAGCTATGCTACAAGAGAATCCTAGCCCGGGGTTTCGGGGATCCGTCGACCGGATGATAAACTTCTCTGGTTCGTCGTTCGAATCTTCAAGACTCATCTTGTTCACCTGCACACAGTGCACAACGATTTAGCTCCTCCTCCAGAGACAAGGATAGCCGGATGCAAATAAGTGAGCCGATTAACAAGCGACCTCACCTGAATATGTGCCTTATATATGTAGACAGGATTGGTGAATTGCGTTTTCTTGCCGACCGTTTCGCTGAAGATGATATTTTGCTCGAAAAGAAAGACCTGCCATTCCTTTCCTCTCGTCGATACGTTCGATATCTCCGACACCAGAAGCGGGCCGTGCAACAGGAGCTTCCCTTGCGCCGTTATTTTACCCTGGAGGGACGCGAAACGTAAACGGATTTTCGACAACGGCTTTTTTTCCCCCCACCACGTGAAAACGCGAGAGCGAGCGAAAAAGAGCAATACTCACGTCGAAACCTTGTAATCTCCCAACGTCCATCATATCGTTTGCAGCTTTAGGAATAACTCGCATGACATGAGCCGCCGCTCTGAGGCCTTCGATTTCCGATAACCTTTGAGTTCGCTCAGTGAGGCGCAGTGCCTCCCGTAGAAGAAGTTGATATTTTGTAATCCTTTGTACGGGCTTGATCAGCAAGTCGCAGAGTTGCAAACGATGGCCAAGTTTTTGCCTAAGTTCCTGCAACACACACACGCGCGCGCGCGCGTGTTCCTTGTTTAAATGTTTCCGTTTTGTGCGTAGCCGCGCTCATCGATTTTACTCGGAATTACCTCGAAGTAAGTGTCTATGTGTTCGGACACGATGTACTCCGAGACGGGTTTGTTCTGACAGTAGACCACGTACATGTGCAGCTTCCGCTCGTAACGTTTGAAGAGAGGTCCGAGCTCCTCGGGGCGCTCCAAGCAACGTTCCAGAGCCTTGAGGAAAAAGCTGGAAGCAGGAAACGCAGAGGTGTGAGAGTCTCGAAGGCGGGCGATTGACGCTGAAAAAGGGGCTTCAAAGGCCCGAACTCACTCTCTGTGCCACTCGTAGATGGCCTCCGCGTTACCGAAAACCATCTTGTCTTTCCCGGCGCGCAGATCCTCCGGCAAGGGGATCTCGCACTCGGGATTCCGCATTAGTGCCATGTAACCTTCGACTATCTGCTTTAAGTCATTGACGTAATCCCTCTCGGTGTCCACCAGCTCGCGTATAACAAACTGCCGCTTTGCGATCGCGGTGCTCTCCGGGTCCGACTCCTCGGCGACGACCGCGTTAATAGTCGCGTTACAATACTCCTCCTCGTTGCTCAACGACTTTCCGTTGGGGGTTCGCATGAGACTATGCCTCTCCTGATTCTCCGTATGTTGCTCCTGTTGACGATATACACGCGTAGTACTTTGTGCAGTGCACGGACTCGCGCGCGCGTAACGCGAACGGAACTTACCATCCTTTCCTTGACGATCTGCTCGATCTCCGAGAGATCGGCCGTCGTCGCGCCGCCATCGAGTATCTTGGTCGTACGTTCCGACAGGCTGGTGGACTGCGTAAAATAAATGTTGTTTACAGAAGCGGAGAAGGCGAGAAAATGCAATCAAGTACTCTCGGGGAAAGGCGAGAGGATACTCACTCGAACTTTCCCAGGCAATTCGCTCGGTATCGCGGAGCCTGACGGGCCATTTGCGGTGGCTACGAGTATCGGCTCGGTAATAGGCTTCATCGGGGGCGGAAGCTCCAGGTCATCGTCGGCGTCCTCGCCGCCGTTCTGTTCCTGCAGGCTCGTCACCGCCGCGTCATCGCTCTCCGTAACGTCCGCGTCCACGTCCACCTCGACCTCCGGATGCTCCTCGCCCTCTTCCTCCTTGCCAACATCCTCACCCTCGTGCGCCTCGACCTCGGCCTCGAACGCCGCCTTGCCGGGCCGATTGTGCTCGACGCCGCTCGGCAATTTAAAGCGTTTGTCCGAGCCGCTTTTCTTCAAAGACGGCCCAATCAAAGGAGGAGGCGATGACGTCGGCGGCACGGCCGTATTGGTTTTCTCGACTTTGCCTTGGCTAAGTTTGCGTAAAGAAGGTGGGAGCCACTTCCGTCTATAAACAGAAACGCCCGGCCGTGGTGCGTGATTATCGTTGCACGTATGACATTTCGCGATAAGCGCGGGGCATTTAGACGACGGGAGTCTCTAATGAAATGCTCACCCGCTGAAAACTCGCCTCTTGTTGCCGGGTGAATTTGTACTAGTTGACCCGCTACCGTCGCTTCCGGTGTTTTCTGTCGATCGAAAGACCACGTGTTACTCCAAGACATCCCTAATTATCTCATAACGGTTGTCGGAACATTGATAAGAGAGCCGAGCGATCGCGTCATCGGGCCTCGCGCCGATTTGCGGTTCACCGACTCTTCCTGTCCGGTCCGCCGGTTCGGCCGCTCCGGTTTTTGCGCTCGTTTGCGCGCCGCGCGAACACGCTTTTTGCAACGTGTGCCGCGCGTACATTCGACGAGCAACTTCTCCCATGTAGCACAAAACCTCCGAGGGACCTCTCTTTGTCCTTTGTTTCAAGAACGCCCGTAGAGCCTAATCTACAATGTGCTTTTTGCGATTAGAAACACTCTATTTCGTACAAGCAAATCAATACGCTACAATTTATCACCTTGCACAAATTTTTTAAACGTATTTACTGGCTACAAAGTAGAACGTTTCTAGACGCAAAGAGCACATCAAGTATAAGACCGTCACTTGGAAGTTTGCGTTGCACGAGTCGTGACCACAGACTTCAGTATACTACTAGTACATAAAAGTAAGGCAAGAGTTCTGCCATGTCTTGTTAGGTAAATAAAGTAGTATGTCGACTGATCTCTTTCGTCGCATCTCAATTTTACGCAATTTCCGGTTTTTCCGTTTAAACGTTCATTCTGGTCCCAAACGAGTGTTTAAGAAGAGAACAAGACATGGCGGAATTCTTGCCTCACTTTTCAGCTCGAAGGTAGCAAGTCTAGTAGTATAAGGTGCTTTCCAGTAACGTACACAGGCGACACTGCGTAACACAGTGAATCGTTTTATCTTTGTTTGTCATTATTAAACAAGGATGAAGTGATTCTCTGTGTTACACCGTGTCAAACTGTGTGTCTCTTGGAAAGCACCCATACAGAGGTCTGTGGTCGTGACGCCACGGACCGACCGGCTCTCCTTCAGGGTGTCCAGCAGACTCAATAAAAATAATTCGCCGACTCTTTCAGGTTTTCCAGGGGCCGGAATGAATTTTTCCCCGACCGTTTGGTGTAACTTTTTCTTCAAGATGCATAATTTGCGTACGTCCGTATGGGAAATCGAGTAAATGTTAAATGACGAAGTCCTTGAAATACTTTTCTCGGGGAAACAAAAGTCCGGAATTTAAAAAGGTAAAAATTTCAATTAAAGCAATTATACCATCTATGTATAATACATTGTGTAATAGGAACAAACATATTACAAACCCATACGAACCATTTGGGACACCGTACGTAATCATATATGACGCTTTCGTTTTGCTTAACTGCAATTTGTTTGCAGCTTACTAGATAGTAACTTATTTAGATAGTGCCGTTTAGCAATTCATCTTTTTTTTATAATTTTGTCTCAGTTGAACACATCGAATCGAAATGAAATAACACGACGATGAAAGTATAAATTATCGACCACGCTTATAAATTGATGTTTAGCAAAACAGAAAATTGGTGTACTGAGAGCCAAAGAAAAGTTTGTTTTCTAGAAACTTCAAATTATTAAAAAAAAGTGCGAAACGATGTAAAAAATTCAGATAAATCGTAAAATTTCCGGACTATTCCCCGACACTTCCGGATTTCTAAAATTCCCTGACAAATTCCCGGTCTTGCAGATTTCCCCGGCCACTGGACACCCCGTCCTCCCTTGTCGCGCCCGCTTACCCGCGTCCTCCGACAGCATCGGCGACAGCACCGCGGACGACAGCGCGACCAGCGGGGACGCCTGCTGCGTGGCCGGCGGGACGCCGGCCACGCAGCAGGTCGGCGGCAACGCGCCGGCGGCGGTCGACGACGCGACGGCAGTTTGCTGCTGCGCTTGGACAATTGCTTGGCTGATCTGCTGCTGATGGTACGGATGATGCTGCTGCTGCTGGGGATGATGATGCGGTTGTTGCTGTTGCTGCTGCTGCGTGGACGCTTTTCTGGACGGCGAAGTTTTGCAGGAGGCGGTCGGCGGCTGTTTCAGGGCGCTGGTGGGCACCAGACCCTCCGCGGCCGGCTCGGCCTGTCCAGGCGTGAGCGGCAGACGCACCAGGGTCCATTCGCCGGCGGCGGCGGCGGCTGCGGCGGCGGTGCCGTTCTCCAGCACCTCGACCTGCTGCCCTTTCGTCACGCTGAGCTCCCTCGAGCCCGGCGCGGCCATATGATCGGCGACCACCCACGTCATCTCGACGACCCCGGTCTGAAAGCATGGCACGCATCGTGGACCCTCAATAGATTCCGCGGGCAACATCGCGCGGGAGGGTCGGCGCGATTCACGGTCGACGTACGTCGGATATTCGCGCGAATACCGGGGGACCGGGGGCGGAGGGGGTGGGCGGTGGGGGAGAATATAGAAATGGGATAATTAGCGGAGTGCGATGTGTCTGTGTGCGCGCGTGCGTGAAAGCGGCGGCGGCGGCGGCGGCGGCGGTGGCGGCGGGCAAGGGTGAAGGGTGGGCGCGCGGGATAAACCGAAAGCAAGGGAAGCAAAGCGAAGAGGAAGAGCCTGCCCTCTCGTGCTTACGCAAGCGTAGACGGGTCGATACGCTCGTCCTCTCCGTCGCGCGGCCGTGGGCTCGCCTCTCGCCCTCTCGCTGGGCGAGAGACCGATTGTCTTTGAATTTGCGGATCGACGGAGCGAGATTCCAGAGATCCGATTACTGACGCCCGGCTGATTCTGACGGTCGGATCAGTGTCAACCGGGTGTCGCTCGCTCTTCCTCCCTTGGAGCGCGCGCGCGCGCGCTCGCGCACGTCCGCCCTTCCGCGACGACGCTTTTAAATCGCACGCGGATTCCGGCGTTTTGAAAATAGCTAATGTCACGACACCGCGGTACTTTGACGTTGCTATAAATACCGTGCGTGTGCGTGTATCGTATTGACCGAGCGTGCACGTTTACCGCGCGCTTCTGGCCGACAGCATCCCTCCCTCGCACGCTTCCTCTTCCTCCTTCGTCGCGCGCCGAGAGACGCGCAATTGTTCGCCCGACGTGGGCCGGCCGAATGGTCCCGCCCGATGGTTCGCCCGATTTTCGTACATTCCGCGGCCCGAAATAGAATTTTCCACGTGCCAAGTTCCCCCCGCGACGCCGTTAACTCGCGCCGCTCCGCTCCGCGCCGCTCCGTGCTCGCCGCGCGGACGGCCAAGGTGAGGAAAGCGGGAGAAGGAAAAAATAACGGAGAGCGATAAAGAAACGCGAGAGAGAGATTACGTTATCGCCGCCTATACGGCGACGCATCGGGAGATCCCCCCCCCCCCTCCTCGAGATACCCGCGCACCTCGCTCGGCAGGAAGCCCGCGCGCGTACGTCCTCGCGGATTCTTACACTCCCCCGACGTCCGGTACCTATTTTCGTGGTTCCGAAAGAGGAGAGAGCGCGCGCGTATTCGTCGGAATTCCACCGTAACGATCTCTCCCCCGCGGGAGGAGGCCCCGGAAGATCTTCCGCGGAAGACGTTCGCCGGCCGAACGGTGGGGACTCGAGTACACGCACGTTCGCGGTCGAACTACCCCCTCGAGTCCCTCGAGTCCCTTGGGGGGGCTGGAGATTAAACAAACGTGCGGATGTATCGGCGGGTAGCCGCGGAGGACGGAGAGAGAACCAGAGGTGACGAGATCCGTGAGACGATCGGGCGCTCGGCGGGTACCTGGGTCAGGGAGGGTTGACGGCGCAGAAGTCGGGCCTGGAACGAGCTCGGCGTATCGATGGTGTGCTGCCTGGAGAGGGTCACGTGCGGCGGTGCCGCGGAGCCCTGGCGGAACCACGGCAGGGAGATCTTTCGCCGCGCCTTCTGGGCGATCGTCGCCGGTTTTCCGGCCGGTGACGTCATGATAAAAATTAAAAAAAAAAGGGGGTCCTCGGCCCCCCGCGGCCCTGCGCGCGGCCTGCGGCTGACGGTGTTCAGACGCGCGAGCGCGGTCGCGGCGCGCAGGAGGGCAGGAACGACGACGACGACGACGACGTGGTGGCGGCGACGGCGGACGGCGCGCCGTCGTTCACGGGGCACATCCTGGAGCGCGCGACAACGCGCGGTGCGTCCGCCATCGCCGTAGGCACGGGCCGCCCCGCTCCCGTGTTTATTTGTCCGTCTATTTTATTAATTTCTGTTGCCGCTCCCTCCCTCTCGCCACCCTCCCGCGCCTTCCTCCGGAGCAAGAAGGTCAGGGCTTCACCGATTCGCCCAGCGTCTCGCGATCAGCGGCAGACCCCTAAGTGGATCCATTCGACCCGGGAGTCGCGCCCGTACTGATCGTCGGCCTCCCGCGGGCCGTGCGGAGTGACGAGATTATAACTAACCCAACCCAACTCTCGCGCCCCACCCAGCCCTGCGCGAGTACTGCCCTCCGCGCCGCCATCCCCGTCGTCGCAGGGGGGACGGACACCCGCGAGGGAGAGAGGCCAGGTGGACCGTTCGTATCGGGGCATCGGGGCCGGCAGCCGATTCGGGGAGTCGATCGGTTCGAGAGCGAGCGGGCGATCTCTGCCAGCGCCGCGGGAAGATGCTCGCAGTCCGGGTCTCGAGGACGGGCGTAAAGGTCGAGGGTACGAAGGGCGACAAATGACTTGGCGAACCGTGCCCTCCCTGTTATTTCGCGGTTCGCCTCGATTTCGCTTCGAAAAGTGGATATCGGGGCACAAACAGTTGAACAGTTCGAGATAAATTGACAATTGTACGCTTCGCATGCATTTGAGGCGGTCGACGGTATCTTTACACAAGCGGGTACAATTAAACAGAGGAGTTTAATTGAGAAGCGCAATTGTTTGCGCTTATAATATATCGATCTGTGTAATGTAGCTTGTAAAGCGCGCGGACAATTATCCTCGCCTTAATTAAAATTTTCGATGCCTCCGCTTTAAAGCCTCTGTTATACAGCACGAGACATATACCTTGTCGCACCATTTCCCGATACAGAGTAGTAACAAAAGGCGAATTGAAGCTACCGCTGTCACAGAAATATCATCGAAAAGCGATAAGTTCGAGCTTGGGACAAATACGACTCGAGATTGGAGCAATGTAGCAATCGCCGATGAATCATCGTTGTGGACACAAGCTTCTGGCTTGGTCCGCGACGAAGCAATTCTACATCTTCGAGATAAAAATAATATCGCGGTCATTACCCGTGCTTACACGCTGAAAATTTCGAAGAGCACGCGGAAGCTGCCGGACGACAATTAATACTGGAAATCCGATGCTTTTTTTTTGTGTTATTTAGAAGCACCCGAAAGTGCACCTGTGATCTTGAGAGCTGTATAAAAACATTGGTATTTAAAGAAACGAGAAGAATTGTCCGCTTCATTTAAAATAACTAGACTGCTGCGCGATTTTAAAGCGACACCGCTGTGTCTAAAATTAATCGCCATAAAAAGCACGCTTCTGTATAACGTTTAAGTAACACGTATAATTTTCTCGATTTAGCCTCTCTCGATAAAAGCCTCTTACAATTTTCATGGAAATTCTATTTTCGGGGCAAAATATTGTGTATCTTTATCTCGCGAGTGCTCGCGAGTCGCATAGAGGAATATCTCGATATCTCCGAAACGTGCGGTATAGGATAAGGTAGAGAAATCGTACTCTACCTTATCGGAATCCGTAGTGTTGGTCGAGCCGAAGGAAGCCAGGGAGTTCCTGTCGAGATTCTCCACGCTCTCGTCCAAGGACGCGCATTCCTCCAGGTCTCTGCTGGAGCGTTGACTGGAGCTCTTCTTGGCGGGGCTCTTGGGCATGTTCTTGCCCAGGAAGGTCTCCTGTATCACCTCGCGCAACCGCATCACCCACAGCTGCTTCGCGTCCATCGAGTTCGCCCGCAGCACCACGCGCGTGTCGCTGGTCGGCGCCCGTCCCGTCCACACCGCGAACTTGCACTCGTCCCCTTCGATATGCTCGGTCACGCCCAGCTCGGAGGTCAACAGGCGATTTTTATAAACGTACTTCACCTGGATGTGGACACGACAACAGCGCGTGTTATCGATATACAGTTTTATCTTATTTAACTGAAGGCAAAGCTGTTGCGTGCAAACCTTTCCCGCGGAATCCTTCACCTCCTTCGTAAAGAGAAGATACAATTCGAAAAGAAATATGTGACGGTCTCTTCCTTTCCGGATGAGCTGCTTTGGGTCCCATACTGTGAACGAATCTTGCAGCACGACGTCACCGAGCGCATCTATACTAACGTCGCAACCTTCCAGTAGACTTAAGTGTAAGGCATCGTTAGCTTTTTTAGGCACATTTAACATCACTTCTAATCCCTCTTTTATCTCGCCCTGTCCCTCTTGGCAGCAGGCCTGGAAAAGGGAAGAGAATACGTACTCGGGCGTTCGAGACGTTACGTCGCGAGCCCACGTGACACGTGACGCCTGAATACCTGTAAGTCCTTGAGCAGCAGCTGATACTTGGTTATTCTCTGTACAGGTTTGATTAGATACGCAGCGATAGGGTGTTCCACTCTATGCTTCCTCTGCAATTCCTCAAACCACGTCCCACTGTGTGTTATTAACAGTTGATTGCTCTCGGGTTTGTTCTTACAGTAAGTTACGTACATGTCAAATTTAGGTGCCTGGAAATGAAACGGACGTTACGCGATATAAAAAAAAATTGCGCCCCCAACATCGACTTGGCACTCGCACAATTACTCACCCACACTACAAAACAGTGTCCCACATCCTCCGGCATGGTCTCGTACTTTTCTAGCTCGCGCAGAAATACATTGCTGTGGAACTGATGTATCTCCTCTATATTGCTAAAAATAATGGACTCCCGATTTTGCAAACCCATCGGAACAACGCCCCCCTTTCCGCACCGCGTCTCGTCCAGGAAGCAGCGTATGCAGGTCTCCAAGTCTTTCACGTACGTACGTTCGGTTTGCAAGAGCTCGGCCATAATGAACTCTTTCCTCCGCGCGGACCTTCGCTTCTCCTCGTTCAACTCCTTCAGATCTTTGCCCTTGATCTTCTCCTCCAGCAACGGATCCGAATTCCGATCGATAGAGAGTTCTCGGTGCACCTCGTCGGGCTGGATGCCCAGATCGCCCTCGATTTGCGTCTTGTAGCAGTCCATTCGCGCGCTGAAGTCCTTGTAACGCTGGTCGACCTCGGCGACGGCCTGCTTGATCGCCGCGGCATGAGCGTGGCCCCTCTCGACCAAATTGTCAGCGAGCTGGATCAACAGTTTCACCCGTTCTCTCGTCTCCTTCGCCGCGCCTTTGAACTCGATGTGCTCCTGCAACAGCTGCTCGTTCTCGATGCGATTCTTGCCGACGTTGGTGTGCGTCGCCAAATACAATTCCCCGGTTTCTTTGATCCACTCGAGGGCCTGCTTCGCGCTACGCTCGAACAGAACGTACTGATGGCATTGATCTAGACGTTTCTTCCGCTGCGTCCAATACTCGAGCACCTTGTTCTCCTTACCGACCAACTCCTCCAAAATATTTTTCACTTTGTTCGCGGAACCGGCGCTATTAGCGTGATAGCTGTAAAACTGCAGACTACGATTGATATACTTCAAGAACGTCTCGCCGGTCCGTCGTACCAGCGTGCACGCCTTCAGAAAGGCCTCCTTTTGCTCCTGGTGTCGGGTGATGTTCGCCGGTATCCCGGCGGCTTTCTCCCCGTCGGCGCACCAATCGTCGTCCACGTTGTATTGCAACTCTAAACTGTCGAGAACCGAACGAACAGAGTCCACAGTTTTGTAAAAGTTTAAACTGGCAGTAATTAATTTGTGTCGCTCCTCCGCACAGGTCACTAGCTGCTGCCATCGTTTGGTAACATCCTCCGCGACCTCCCTGATGCTCTTAGGATCGTAATGATTCCCGCTTATCAGAGCGTCCGCTTTGTGCTTCACTTGCACGGCGGACGCGTGAGTGTTTGTTATCGCGAGTTGAAAATGATAGTGCTCCTTCCCCAATTGGTCGGCGTCTTCGAAGTCGTCCGGTATCCTCAGCGAGGCCAGTAATATCGACTCGCCGTTTCGTATCCACTTGATCACGTGAGACGCGTCTGTCTGCAGCTGCAGCAACTGCGAGGCCTGCTCCAGCCGCACCCTTCGCATCTCCGCGAGATCCTCCGCGTCCAGTTCACGCTCGTTGAGAAACTCGAGCAGCACCTGCACCCGCGCCGCCGCGCTGTGCTGACCGTCCGCCATAATACACACCCCGGCCTCCTCCAAGACCTGCGCCAATTCCTGGCCACGGTGGAGAATTTGGAAGGCGGTGTTCTGCATGTGAGCGACCCCGTCGTTGTGCACGCGCAGCAACTGCTCGGGCGAGCCCTCCCGCGGAGGGCCCTGCAGCTCCTGCGCCCACATCTCCAGCTGGCCACTGGCCTCCAGCGCGTCGCGCTCGAAGACGCGTAGTCGCAGGCACAGCTCCAGTCTCAGCTTCTTCGTGGCCCACAAATCTTCCAATTCCTGCCGCAGGCTCGCCAGTCTGTCCAGGGCCGACTCCACCGCCGATATCGAGCCGGTCGTGTCGGGCGCGTCGGTCGCCTCGCGCAGTTCTTGCAGCAGAGCCTCGCCCTGGGCTATTGTCGAGGCACACGCCTCGAGACAGGACGATCTATGCTGCGCGCACTGCTCCAACAGTCTTTCCGCGGTCTCCAGGTTCTCCGCAACCTCGTCCTGTTGCAATTCCTGACGTAACTCGTCCACCCAACCAGTGAGCTGTGAAACAAAGCCACGTTGAAAATGGCATCGTGCGTGTACGCGTTTAAGTATCTGCGCGTTTTGCAGATTATCATAAGCAATCCTATGTGATAGCGTATGGTCGATGTTTAACAATACCTCCTTTTCGTGAGTATAAAACACTACTGCCAGATCCAATCTGCGACGCCGTTGCTCGACCCTCGCTGCGAAGCTACTAACGTGAGCCTCCAACTCTTGCGCCACCGCGTATATTTCATCAGGCGCGCATTCCCCCGTGTGAGCAAGTTCCTCGGCGGCGGTCAAGAGTTTAGTCGCATTTGTGTAAGTGTTCTGCAAACGGAAGGAACACCAAATATATAATCATGCGTAACAGATTATGCATATCAAGTATACAGCGAGAAAACAATCACCTGAGCGACATTCTCAAAATGTTCGTGGCTCTTTTGATAGACTCGCGCTTTCTGCAGATTACGGCCCACGCCTGTGTTTTTCCTAATGAACACCTCGCCGTGGTTCGTCAGCCAGTCGAGGACCTGCTTCACGTCCTCTTGAAATAATCTGAAAATCATAATACGTTAATATCGACACGTCACGCGAGCCTCACTACTCTTTTCGTACTTTAATGCGAGCCGTTGATGCAACTTGACTTTGCGAGCGTGCCAACGGGCCTCTAGTGCTCTGTGATGGCCGAGAATCTGATGGATGACAGCTAATACGTGAGACGCGCCTTCGCTGTAATCAGCCGCTGGATTACCGCTCGTGCTGGTATGACTGTCAATACTGTGCCCATCTTGGCTCTGCATAAATCAGACGTCAAAGTGTGAATTAACGATGCAAATTGCTCTGGGCAGGTAGAAATTATTATTTAATAATAATTAGTTAACTGAACAAATGCTGCATGCATCCCGGTCAGTATCGCTAGATATCATTTTTATGAGCTTTTACACAGGGTTATATAATGTAATTACAGCATGTAAGCAAGCATCGTGTTTCTCTACATTATTCCCTTTCAATAGCATGTACAAAAACGATCCCTCCCTTTTATTCCATGCAAAGGACAGTTTGAACAAAAGAGTGATGGAAGCACTTACTATCTCGCTCAATTACAAACGTGTATTTTTTTTTTGCCGAAAGCTTAACACGTATAAAATTAAGGCTTCGTTTTCCAAACAAAAATTAAACACACAGGGACGTGATCACGAGAGAAGGCTTTGACATAAAAGGGAAAAAAACAACAATAACTGTTCCATTGAACACGAATTAACGTACATGTTTTCTGGCGACATGGTCAATTCCTTGTGGTTGATTACAGACTTGCACAAGATGATCCAGTTGGTAAAGAAGCTTCTTACTGGTACTATGCACCTAAATAAGAATTTTACCCAATCCCGCTTGAGAAACATTCGTATATACAACGTTCATTTCGAGTATATGGCTTTACGATGGCATGAATAAACGTATACGATGGGATGAATAAACAATTGACTTTCAATCAAAGAGAAAATAACGGCAGGATGACGAATACTGTAGAGTAACGAGTATCGGTAACGAACAAATAAACGTGCGCCTGTACACAAAATTCTGTTCGAGAATACTGAGACGCCTGGGTTATAAGGAAATTACTTTATATGTTAATCAATGCGGAAAATTTGCGGATAGATATCTCCAATAGCACCCAAGTACCAAGCGAGCAACGGACTCCATCGCCCAAAGCCTTTTAAAAAAAATTGAATTTCTCGTACATAATCTGAGGAATGGGCGCTCACGTTATGACATACTTGCAGCATTGAACCCAGGCCGCTCAATAACGCTTGATACGCATTGTAAACCTGTTAAATATCAGATAAACTTACAATGTAAATGAAAAGAAACGTGTGAAATGAAAGTCGGATTGGTTTGCACAATAACACAAAAGTAATCTCGTCCATTCCAAACGTATCACGTGACGACGAAGTCGTGTTGAACGACGGTTGAAAGCTCGCGCTTTACGAACAGGACAAAATTTACCTCCGTGTACGCCTGGCACATTGCCTCGTAGAGAGTTTGGTGTTGGCGAATGTGAGATTCGAGCACTGGAATTTCACTGGGCAGATTGCTGATCTCGCACGCCTGGCTCCAGCCGGCCACGTTATCGACATACTGTTCCGCCTTGTGGTGAAACACTACACTTAAACTAAGCACCGCGGTACGCTCGTCGAGGCCCGCGGCGAACTCCTTCCACGCCCGGTCCAAACGTCCCGCCACCGCTCGCACGTGCCCGGCCGCGTAATGCTGCGTCTCCAGCAGCTTGCCGGCCATCGTGAGGATCTTGTTTATGTTGACGTAAACGTTCATCGAGCTCATTGTAAAATGTTTATGCTCCTCCTGCAGGTTCTTGGCCAATTGGTACGAGCGGCCGATCTCCACGTAACTGGCGAGGAACGCCTCTCGGTTGTGACAGATCCAATCGAACATCTTCTCGCAGTCCTGCTCGAACAGCCGCAGCTGAAAGCACTGGTCCAGCTTCATCTTCTTGATGTGCCACAGTTGCAGCAGGTGCTGCTGCGCGGCGTGCACGGAGTCCAAGTGCTGAATAACCAAGGTGGCCAACGCTCGCCCGTCGGAATCCGTGCAGCTCGCCGCGCCGTTGTCGATACTTCCTCCCTCCCCGCCGGTCGCCGTCGCACCTGGAAACACGTTCGCGCATTTGTATCACGTAACGCGGCGAGTCTAACGTTAGTTCATGCCATTCTTATCAAGTGGAAAGTGTCAGCTAACTGTTGTTAAATCGCTGCAGCAGGCGTTGCCCGACAACCTCGATTTCCTCCACCGGGACCTTCATGATTTTCTTTTTCATCTCATTGTGCAGATCGATTCCGTGCTTGGCTCCCGCGACATCGTCAGCGAAGTCATTCCGGCTGAGGTCCTCCTGCAGGTCGTCCAACCGATCGAGCAGATCCGCCGCCTGCCACGTGAAATCTTCTACGACCAATCTGGTGTCGATCCACTGGGCGTGATCGTATTGCAGGGATCCGTCCAGGTCTGCAGTGAGCTGCGAAGGATCTATCACCTTTACAAGGGCTTCTAAGCTAATCGTATTAATCTGAAATGAACGTATTACTTTGTAAAGTTCTACAACGTGACTGAGTCCATCTGATTGGAATTAGGTGCGCACAATTCTCATCCACTCACCTCAAAATTATACTTCTTCTGCTTACCCAACGACGTCCTCTGTTTCTGCCAAAAGTTCTCCGGTTTGATAAGAAAAGCTACGTGAACTGTACGATGAAAATGCTCGTGCAACACCTGCAGATATTTGCGAGTCAATCCTCCCGCCCGGTAATTCGCGTGATAATTTTATACAATCGGCACAACGCGGAGGATAGCGAGAAGCGGAGCGTCAGGAAACGGGCGGTACCTTCAAAATAGGCTTGACCGAGTCCCACGTTGTGCCGCGCATATCCACGATCACGGTGAATCGCAGTCCCCTGGCCTCGTCGCTCGGGATGGCGAACAGGTACTGCAGGAGGCGCCTGTAGTCCTCGGGTTTCGCGCGCTCGCGCCTCGGCGTGCTCGGGAACAGGAGCACGGGTCCGCCCCTGCGATCCCGTCCGCCCGGCAGTATCGCCAGGCGTTCTTGCAGCAACGGCAATACCTCTGCCGCTCGTGTCCCGTCCATCGTCCTCGCCGTTTCGTTAAACGATCACCATCTGCCACCCGGCAACGGACAAAACGGACAGTTTGTAACAGGCTCTCGTTAGAATCCTTACGACGTACGACGCTACAATCGTGGAATTAAGAGTATTACGTGGATATGCCGATCAACGATACAGACTGAGGCTTAGTGTCTCACTTTGCGTTTGTTTCCAAGTAGAAATTGGGGCCTGAGGCAGAATGGCTGTCTTGTACTCTTAAGACATAAGGCAGTTATTGCGCGTTACCTCAAGACAAAGGCTTGAAACATAAAATATTGTCTTAAGAGTACAAGACAGCCATTCTGTTCAGGCCCTTACGTGACTCAATATAAAAGGAATCCAGTACGGAAAAATAGTATTGTGTGCCGTTGGCTTTTCACCATGCAATACCAAGGTATACCAGGGTGCGCACTAGGCGCCTGAAAACAGCAGTAAAATTCAACATATTCAGATAAGATTCATTTTGTGCGAGGGGGAAACCCGCTGAGGACATTGTGGTGTACAGATTTTCGGCATTACTGGACATTTTTTGGGCATTAGGTCTTGCTGGGGCATTGTAAACATAAAATAAGTAAAGTAATGCCCATTGGGCATTAGTGGGCATTGGCGTACAAGATTTTGGTCGGCGGTTTCCCCCTCGATTTTGTTAAAATATTTCCTAGGGGGAATATTTTTCAACAAGTCGACCAAACTGGCAAGAAAGTGATCTTCATTCAGTTCACAACGTTTCGACCTCTTAATCGGGTCCTTTTCAAGTCTGGTCTATAGTTGTCGAAGTAGCGTAATTTGTTTAACCGAAACGGAGTGAGTGTACGAGTTTGTGGTTGCAGATTCATATTGTCAAACGTGTCTCGGTAGTCAGTGGACACTTGACAAGGACCCGATTAAGAGGCCGAAACGTTGTGAACCAAACAGAGATCGCTTTCTTGCCAGTTTGGTCGACTTGTTGAAAAATATTCCCTCTTTGAATTACCGCTAGCGACAATAACGTCTACTCAACATAATATTTCCTATTGGATATCTTTAGCGGCTTTCTTCAGGTGCAAAGGCACTCGTGACGCCGAGTATACATTCTGGTGTACCTTGGTACTCGTGCCTAGTCGCGAAAAATCGCCCAAAGACACAACCACCCAGGTAGCACGGACGCGAGCGCGCGGGCAATTGGTTTTGAAGAATGCAGAACTGGACGCCGGATTTCCGGGGAATTTGAAGGATCAGCCGCGGTCAGTTCGTCGCGGCGATCCTCAGAAGTTACGGTGCACGTTGACTTCCTCGATCGGTCGCTACCTGAACTGGCCGCGCCAGTCGGGAGTTTATCCCTCTTCTTCCAACGCAGAGGGGAGAGAGAGAGAGATGAACTCCCGACTAGCGCAGCCTGTTCAGCTACAAAGAACGGACCTGTTATTATCGCGTGCCCTTCGTGAATTCCTAAAGAATTCGTCCCGGCCCATAACGAGTTGTCAGTCGTTAGTCAGAGGTCGGAACTATACGTTGATCCTTTTCCCTCGATCCCTCTCCTCTCTGGGTGGCAGAAAAGGACCGACACGCAGTCCTGACTTCTGACTAACCGCCGGCAACTCATTGGAGACCTGGGACTTGCAATCTCGGGGGGAGAACCCGAGGGATACCCCGCGAATTCACCGGACGCTACGCGAGCGTAGAGTCCGGCTCGGCTTGGAACAAATTCGCCCGAGAGGACAATGCGAGGAAGGGGTAGGGCTGCCATCTGTAATTTTACTGGCCTAGGACAGAAAGATTCAAAACCCCGGATTTTTCCGTCTGAAACCCGGACACCCGTAATTCATAATATTATATTAAATTATTGCAACTGCTGATAAAACGATAAAACAGAATCTTTTATTAATTATTTATTATTAATTATCATTAATAATATCAATAATGACTACTTCAATATTATTATTTTATCATTGATCCCGACCCATAGACATAGAAAATAGACCCAGCATGCCAATTCGTTTCCTTAAGAAAAGTTGTCACGAACATAACAGACAGAGAGGCAAAATAGAGTGGCCGCAGAGGGCATGAGAGGGAGCGAAAGACAAAATATTGTCTTGCGCAGACAATGTTTTGCCTCTCGCTCCATCTCATGCCTCCGCGGCCACTCTATTTTGCCTCTCTGTCTGTTATGTTCGTGACACGTTGGGAACACGTATACTGGGTCTATCTTCTATGTCTATGTCCCGACCGACGCCCTGGACGCTCTGATAATATACCCTGTGCACGGATATATTTGGCAGATTAAATAGTGTTTATAGTTCTACGCGCTTAAAACTAGTTAAAACCCGGATTACTTTAAAAAATCCCCCCGGACGTCCCCGGACGCTAACGAAACTAGGACAAATCCGGGGAAAACCGGACGGATGGCAGCCCTAGGAAGGGGTGACTTCGCTCCGTGAACGCACTCAATGAAATAGTCAAATTCAAGGTCATCACACACATGCACAAGCGTACACGTGCGAGCGCGCGCGCGCGCGTCGCAAGTGCATTCACGCATGCCACACACACGTACCCAAAGTAAATGCACGCGTACGCGCGCGCATATAAATATAATGCCGCCGATTAGGGCCGCCGCGTCCCGTTTCTGTCGCACCACTGTCCGCGGCTGCCGCCTAATCGGGAAGCTCGTCGGCCGCGCGCGCGAGAGAGACAGAGAGCGGAATGCGAGACGCGAGAACCGTTGTCCGGCGGCGTGGGAGTGCGGCACACGCGTATCGGAATAGCACGTAAACCCGCGTATCCATCCCCTCCCCCCCCGAATCCGCGCCGCTGTCTCGCGAACCCCTTTCTCCTCGTCCTTCGCCGCTGCCCCTTCCCCCGTGCAAAATACTATCGCGGCGGACGCTCCTCGCGGAACCGCGCGCCGCGCTCGTGGGAGACTAACGGTACGAGGGGGAAGGCGGCGAGCAACGTCCACTTCTCTCCGCCAGCGCGGATCGGCTCCTCGTTTTTTTCTTTTGCCCCCTCGAGGAATTAGAAAAAAAAAAAGAGGCAAAAAGCGAGGCTAAAGTTAATCCGCGGAAACGTAGCGCGGGCGCGCGAGCCCGGTTGAACCGCGTGATGGTCGCCGACAATAGAACGTCACCGGGGCGAGGGGGGGAGAGGGCGAAGGGGAGGGGGGAGGGACAAGTGGACAATCAATCGTCTCACCCCTCTGGATGCGGCAGGCGGCCGCCTGTCGCGGATACATCGGCACTCGCGCGCGACCGCGGGCGCGCTCTCGACCCTGGCCGTCGTTCCGCTTCGAACCGCCAGGTCGGTGGGGACAAACATCGCGCCGCTACGCGGAGTCGACGATGCGCCCGCGGCTCCGACGAGAGACGGCCGGACGATTACTCGCGCGAGTCGCCCGAGGGAGAGTCTCTCGCGGTAAACGGAAAAGGAGATTCGTGGCAGAGCGGCTCACCTCGGCAGAAAGCTCGTTCGCAACGACCCCCGGTCGCGTCCTTGCGCCCCGTCGGCGTGTCAGCGGGCCCGTGTCACTCCGCCGCGCCGGCCTGCCGTTCATATTGCCGTTTCATCGCCGCGTCCGAGAGTCACGGGCGACCGTCGCGCGAGTCGAGCCCCGAGATCGCCGCTGCCATGTTCCGAAGCGTATACACACACGAGCCTCCAACGGCGTCGCTCGCCAACACTGGTCCGAGGGGGACGGCACGAGTGTCGCGCGACTCCGCTCCGCGAGAGGCGTCGCTAGGCCCTTAAGGCGCGCACGCAACGTTCGCGCGCGCCCCGCGTCAAGGCGGATCCCGAGCGAGCGATCCGGGACTTTCGGATTTAGCCGCCAATAGCGCGTTCATTGATTTTACCATTGAAGATCAAAAGACAATTAGTCCCAGTCTACAATAGATGATTTAAGCCCTAAGCTTTAAGAAATTGGCCAATCACGGTCAAGTATGAGTAGAATGCGCGACTGTGATTAGTCAATTTCTTAAGGCTTAGGGCTTAAATCTCTATTGTAGACTGGGACTAAGTCCCAGTCTACAATAGATGATTTAAGCCCTAAGCTTTAAGAAATTGGCCAATCACGATCAAGTATGAGTAGAATACGCGACTGTGATTAGTCAATTTCTTAAGGCTTAGGGCTTAAATCTATATTGTAGACTGGGACTTAGTCCCAGTCTAC